GCTGAACCTAGCCTCCCTGGATCTTGTCCCCTTGGTTGCACATTCTAGTTTTTGTTTGTTCACCACATTGTAAATAAATCACTTGAATTTTACTCTGGCTCMTGGTCTTGGTTCTGGTCCCGCTCATCTTGAGACTATTGTCAATTCGTGACAGTAGTTTGACTCAGTCATGAACTGTCCCAATTCCTCCTGTGAGATTGGGAGCGCACAATCAGTTCCACCAATGGGGGTAAAATAGTCACTGTGTGTTAAGTTCATTCAGATATTTACTTTTTTCAGTCAAGCGGCACAAACAACTGTAATATGAAGCATGTTGTAATACTGTATTGTAGTTATACTTAAAGTTTGGAAATAAAAACTATTTCACACTGATTGTGGACATTATTAGAGTAAGATGGGCTTGACATTAAAACGTGACTGAATATTCATTGTTGGGGAAAGTGATTTCTRAAAGCTGTTGAATGGGTAGCAAATTACCAAGATGTTAGTGTAAAATCACTAACCTGTGTGGCAGGTAGTACATGATATCAGGTTTACCAGATGGACAGAGACTGCTTTACAGGTCTGATGGTATGCGAGTTCCACCTTTTTCTGCATTCATCAAGGTCCCTTTGTAGCACACCCATGAACACAAAACGCACTAGACATATGTGCTCATGACTSCCAGTAAAAAGATGCCTCTCCCTCAAATCATTCAGAAGGTCCATCCAGAACTGAGACCTGCAACAAAACTACTATTAGAGCTGATTCTGAGGAAAAAAAAGATCTAGAATGATATTTTAATCAGTTACCAAAACTTTATAGAAATATCTTAAAATAGGTAGGCMTACAGACAAAAACAAGGATGCAGTAAAGATGCCTGCACTCCWGGAGGAGGTGAGCAATAAAACAACAGACCAAATTTAAGATTTCTATTTTGATTATTCCAAAATATAATTAAGGTTTAAAAAAATGTCAGTGTTCACTGATAAAATATGCCTATGTGATAATTGATTCAAAATGATTGATCAATTAATATTGCCCACAGGAACATCWTAGACACTGGATGTTCTCAGTTAAATATGTTATCATGTATACATAGTCAACAAAATAGGCTGAACATTTTCCACTCTGTACACTTAGGAAGTGTTGAGAGTAATTACTGTACATTTCCTCAAAGTATTGAATAATAAAAAAGTACTTGTTCATTTTATGGGCACTGCTAAATTTGTGATTATTTTAGGAGATATTACTCTATTAACTCTTCAAAAATTATTGTTGATGACCAAACCTCTGTTTAC